GGTTTAGAGCTGGAGCAAGAGCTGACATCCATGTGGGCCAGCGTTCCCCGTGGCGGCCCTGCCCCCCCGCCCCCGAGACAGCTGCGTAGTCGTCCCGGAGCAGAGCGAGTCCTGGGGGGCTGCCCGCCAACGCCGCCCTCACAGCCACACATGGACCTGGCTGCTCTGCCCTAGTCCCTGCCGCCAGCCACGCCCACGCCCAAGGACACGGGACGGGATGCTGCACTCACCCCCGGGGTGGGCTCTGCTCCAGCGTCTCAGGAGGGCAGCGCTGCCCATTCCACACTGGCCGAGCCTGGGCTGCGTCGCACCAACAGGAGGCGTGGGGGACGTGCGGGAAACACGGTGCCCCCACGTCTGCACTCTCCTTGATGGGCGCAGAGATAGTAAATGTGTCAGGTTAAAGGGTAAGGGAGTGGAGGGTGGGGCGAGGGCGACTGGGTGGTGGGACGTTGCCATTTCTCACAGGGTGGTCGGGAGATGCCTGATGGTGGCATTTCGGCAGGGACCGCGGTTGGGGACGGTGCAGGCTGCCAGCAGCTCATCAGGTGTGAGCCCTGGGGGGCGGGGCGGGGGGGGGCAGAGAGCCAGCCAGGTGTCTGCCAGCGTGGGGCTGGCGAATGGGCAGTGACAGGGCTGGGGGCTCAGGTGACCCAGTTCCCTCCGAAGGCGCCGCTGGCTGCGGCCCCTCACTCACAGGTGAGGGGAGAGGCTGATGGGCGTGGCCTGGATGGTCTTGTTCGTCTCAGCCTTTCCAGGTAGCAAACGAGGCTGATGCTTCAGAAAGAGCCTTGGAGCCGAGCTGAGCCGAGGTGGGAGCTTGACCAGGGAGACGGGGTCTGTGGCCGAGGTTCTGGCTGGACGAAGCTTCCGGGCAACCTGAGACCTGGGCCCCACTCCCCCCTCCCTTGGCAGGAGCCCGGGACGGAGACCTGGGCCCCAGCAGGAGCCTGGGGCAGAGAGGGCTTGTTTTGTGGAGACCAATCTGTGTGGCTTTTGTCAAAGGATCCCCAGTAAGATGCACAGACTCAGAAGCTTTTGGGAGAATTCCATTGGCAAAGGCCCGGCCGGTGTGGACCGAAGGCCCGGCCGGATGAAATGAGGTTGGGATCCACGCAGGCTGAGAGGAAAAGGCTCCTGCCGAAACCGGTTTGGCTCAGTGGATAGAGCGTCGGCTTGCGGACTGAAAGGTCCCAGGTTCGATTCCGGTCAAGGGCATGTACCTGGGTTGCGGGCACATCCCCAGTGGGAGATGTGCAGGAGGCGGCTGATCGATGTTCCTCTCTCATCGATGTTTCTAACTCTCTATCTCTCTCCCTTCCTCTCTGTAGAAAATCAATAAAAAAAATATATTTAAAAAAAAAAAAAAAGAGGAAAAGGCTCCTGAGGGCAGGGCTGGGACACAGGGTCCCGGCCTGACCCCGGGACTCCGACAGGTACTGCTGTGTCCCCCTCCCCGCCCACCAGCTCGAGCAGGAGTGTCTGCACCAGGTCCCTCGCGGGTTGGGTGTGTGCAGGGTGGGGCCAGGGCAGACACCTCCCCTCTGGTTCTGACCCAGGAGAACCCATCTCAGCGTGAGGATCTGGACTTGGGGCCGAAGCTGTCGGAGGGAGACTGGGAGGCCTGGGGAGGAGGGACTGATCGCCGGGGGGCGGGGGGTGGATGTGGGCCTCAAACTAGGGTAGAGGCTGGGCTGGCGGGAGCAGGTGGGTGAGAAGTCAGCACCCAGGCTGCCGGGCGCGCGCGCGCGTGTGTGTGTGTGTGTGTGTGTACACATGTGTGGACTCAGGCTTCCCTCCGAGTGAGTGGGCAGCTGGGGCGGTCTTGAGCAGGGACATGATGTCTGACTGGGGTTCTGGAAGAATCTGCTCTGGCTACTGGCTTTTGCTCCGCATTTAAATTCTTGGAATGCTCTGAAGCCCCAAGGAAATCAATCTCCAGGCTTTTGTGCTTGCCTTTCATGCTGTTAACATAATCTAGGACTTTCCGTGTGAGGCACAGATACCGGCAGCTGGGATCGAGTTGTCTTTCTTCTTGACTCTTGTACATCGAACCGAGAAGTGTCAGAACTGAATTAAGTTTGTCCAGCGTGATTAATTCTCCACAATCCCAGGCTGATGGCTATCTCGGCCCCTTGGTGACTCATTTTCCTATCTTCCCGTGTCTAGATGGACGTGGTCAGCTTATCAGGGTTGTCATCCCACACCCCCCACTTCCCCTTCTCACGCTCTGAAGCCATTGTTCCCTGCTCCGGGTTGGGTTCTGTCCTCCAGCTGCTCTCCCTCAGCCCCTCCGCCCCCAGGTCACCGATTCCCTGTCCCTCCCTGTCCCTCCCTGTCCCTCCCTGTCCCTGTGGTAGGACGGTGTCGAGCCTCCCAGGTGAGTCAGCAGCCACTGCACTTGGCTTTCTGGACCCGAGCGGTGGCTCTTCTGAGGATGCAGTTTACGGGGTGTTTTTCTTCCACGAGGGCAACTCTGAAAGGCCTGCTGGGTAAAGTCACGTTACTGTGCTTGGCCAGCTGCCAGTGCCTGCGAGTGGACGTGTGAGCGGTCTTCCCCGAACCGGGTTTGGCT